CCCGGACCCGGCCCCGGGGCGGCCGCGGCGTCGTGGGGAGGGCCGGGCTGGCGGCTGCCGGGGCGGGTGCTGGAGCTGGTGTTCTCGTACCTGGAGCTGCGGGAGCTGCGGAGCTGCGCGCTGGTCTGCAAGCTGTGGCACCGCGTCCTGCACGGCGATGAGAACAGCGAGGTGTGGCGCAGCCTGGCCGCCCGCTGCCTGGCCGAGGAGGCCCTGCGCACCGACATCCTCTGCAACGTGCCCACCTACAAGGGCAAGGTGAGGCCGGGACCCCCCGACCCGCGGGGACACCCCCACCCCGCCGGGAYCCCTGCACCGCCTGCCCTGGCGCTCGGGGACACCCCCACAGCCCTCCGGCCCACCCGCCATTGGAAGCTCAGGGGGCGGGAGGCTGAAAAGCGCGACGGGGTTTTATCTCCTAGAACCACAATGGYTGGGGTTGGAAGGGACCTTAAAGCTGCCACGGGCAGGGCCACCTCCCACTAGACCAGGCTGCTCTGAGCGCCGTCCATCTCCCCCACCCACCTTCTCTCGCCCAGGTTCGTGCCTTCCACCACGCCTTCAGCACCAACGACTGCTCGAGGAACGTCTACATCAAGAAGAACGGCTTCACSCTGCACCGCAACCCCATCGCGCAGAGCACGGACGGGGCTCGCACCAAGATCGGCTTCAGCGAGGGCCGGCACGCCTGGGAGGTGTGGTGGGAGGGCCCGCTGGGCACCGTGGCCGTCATCGGCATCGCCACCAAGCGCGCAGCCATGCAGTGCCAGGGCTACGTGGCCCTGCTGGGCAGCGACGACCAGAGTTGGGGCTGGAACCTGGTGGACAATAACTTGCTGCATAACGGGGAGGTGAACGGCAGCTTCCCCCAGTGCAATAACGCGCCCAAGTATCAGGTGAGGGGGCTTGGCGTGGGCTGGGCGCTGCGCCGGGGCTGGGTGGGCTGGCTGTCCCTCGCTGTCCTGGCTGGCTGCTGAATTGCTTTGAAGTGACCCTTAAAGGTGTCTTGCTTTCCCTGCAGAAGGCAGATGATCCTGCCTTGTGGGCCTTTCTCCCCCTTCATTTACTGCTTCTGCAGGCTGCACCTGTCTGGTGTTCAGTGCACCTGACCCTGGCTTGTTTCCACAYTTTAATCTCAAACACTGAGTGTGAAACCTGTATCGTGGGTATCTGCGTAGACATCGTGATGCTTTTTGGAATAAAACCTGAAAAGACTGTTGTAGTTTTCTGAAGTAGCGACTTGCCCCACAGCAAGGTGAGCGTCTGAGGGCTTGTACCCCTTTGTTGTCTGGCAGGGTRTGCTGAAGTTAGTGCTTTGGTGAGAGTCTTACTGCTGAAACCTGCAGCAGTGCTGATTGCTGCTGCTTTGCTCACTGGCTGCTTTCCCGCGGGTGACATCCCTTGTCTGGCATCTGATGTTCAGCGAACTTCAGGGTAGTAAGGAGCAGATGCCATCCCACCTTTTTGTCCTTACAGAAGYGCTTGTCTTGTCGTGCTGACTTTTYGCTGCTGGATTTGCTYGTGTTACAACTTAAAGCGGATRCATTGTAATTTTCATCTCATATTCAGAGAATGGCTTGAAAGGGACTTTAAAAATMATCCAGTCCAACCTCCAGTGCTGTGGCTTTGTACTGGTTTGYATTTCACTCGTGGGTGAAGATATGTGTAGTAACTTGTATCTGATATTCCTGAATTTCATGTGAAAGTTCAAATCGGTGATCCTTTGGTGTATTTTGTGTTTATTAAAATATGTGCAATGATCTGCTCATAGAAAACCTACTTACAGGAAGCACATGTGTGCTTTAATGTTGGCTGGAAGAAATTGCCCATGCTGGGGCTGRCTGGAGAGGAGTCAGGAGTCTGTGTGGTGTCTGTAGTGCTTGTAGCTGTTCTCTGGGAMTTTTATTGATGTCTGAAATAATGTGTGCTAGATAAATGCAGGGAGCTCCCAGCGTGCCTGGATCCAAGGCTCCTGCTGTGGTCAGTGTTGGTTTCACTTGTGTATGTGTGTGTTTATTTTAGGGTTTTCATTTAACATTTCATRCTGGAATTTCCTTCTGCCTTGGTGATGGAACACCTCTGTCAGCACAGCACCTGCATATCGGTCTATTCTGGGATTTTTTTGTAGGTGGCAYTTGCCTTTCTTAAACAAATCCATTGTCTTGACAAATGCTCCTCACAGAGCAGTTGCTGCTGAGTGATAGCAGCAGCAGAACACAGAGTTCAGGTAACTTAGAGGCCGTTGCAAAGGTTCCAAAGCTCTGCAGTATTCTCAAAGCGCACACCATGTAGTGCCTGCTCTCAGTGTTCTTTACAGGTTCATTTGGGAAGGGTCATGTTTGTYATCATAAATAAGTGATGGAGACAGGCTGTCCTTCTCCAGAAGCACCCAGGATCATGGTGAAATTGAGAAATTCCCATCCTAAGAGCATCATAATCTCATAAGCATCACAATCTATCGTAAGAGCAATCAGTCATGAGACACAGGAAAGCCTTGCTTTAAAATTCTCTGCTGCATTACACTTTGSGTTATTTTTGTCTCCATCTGAACATGCTGACTCTTTCTGTGTATTATTTTTACTCCCCCTCCTGTCTCTGTTTCCAGATAGGTGAAAGAATTCGAGTTATCCTGGACATGGAAGACAAAACATTAGCGTTTGAGAGGGGCTATGAGTTCTTGGGAGTTGCCTTCAGAGGACTGCCAAAAGTTTGCCTGTATCCAGCAGTGTCTGCTGTGTATGGTAACACAGAAGTGACTTTGGTCTACCTGGGAAAACCTCTGGATGGATGACACGGATTGTTTYGTTGGGACGTCGAGATGTGGATGTTTGGGAGGAGAAATCTGCATGTTGGTTAGAGGGAAATGTGTATTAGAGGAAAAAAAACAACAAAAAAGTGTGGGGGTGTGTCCAAGAGCCATCGAGGGAACCACATGGAGTTTGGAAACGGAGGACCAGCGGTACTTCAGAAATTGTGTTACATTTCCTCTTTCTACCAGGCCAGAAAAATCCTCAGGGCTGCAGTTGGTTGAGTGGGAAGCTGACACATGCATGTTGCAACAGATTTCATTGCTAAAATGGCAGTGTGACCTCAAACATTTAGGAAAGGACTTGATACCAAAATGCTTGAGGAAATTACCTGGGATTTGTAAGTGGCTTGTTTTGTGAGAGACTCCCATTTCCAAACTGCTTGTTCCCTCCTTCCTTCCTTCCTTCCTTCCTTCCTTCCTTCCTTCCTTCCTTCCTTCCCTCCTTGGGGCCAGCGTGGGGGCTGGAGCAGAGTGGGGCTGCTGGGGGTATTTACAATTTTTAATGTCATGAGAGGCACGGTCTGTGTGACTGCCCTTCTCTGGTATAACCATATACCAACACGTGTGCAGCTACTTTTAAGTGTATTTTAAGGGTTGTATATAAAGAAAACGTTGAAAAGAACAGTTAAAAGAAAGGGTTTGCTTTATTCTAACTGGGACAGAATTTCCTAAAGGGAAAAAATATCACCCCCCTCCCTGGCACCAGAACACACACCTGGGACAGGTGTGCAGCGTTCATGTCAGTGCAGTTCTGTTGTGACTTGTTTTGGGATGCTCTTGTGGAGTGCAGTGCTGCTTTGGGTTGTTCCCTGTGAAAGTTTTCATGGCTTCAGTGACAGGTTTGTTCTCTGTAGGAAACGTTTTCCCCGCAGGTTTCCTTTCACCAGAACTTGCGCTGCCCTTGGGCRAGGAAGGCTGAGCACAGCACTGAGCCTGCCTTCCTTTCCACCTCAAAAACAACACMTTTTCAAAGCATTCTTACCTTTGCTAATCACTGTTGTGAGATGTCTCAAAATAATGTGGAAGGAGCAACTTGGGCTTCTGCAACCAGACCTTGTCTTCGGCTTCAATGGCTTTATAAGGCTTTAAGGCTTGCCTGAACCTTCCTTAACTGAATCAAATCCCCCAGTACCCAAACATTCACCTGCCCAGGACGAGTAAAACTCTTACCATCCCTTTGATGAGGATTCTGGATCCCATGCAGTGTTTGTGCTCTTCACTTTGCACCAGTTTTTCAAAGCCACATCCAGACCCCCCAGGCGTGTCCGTGTGCTGGGAAGTTGCCAGGTGTAGTGAGGAGGGACTTGTGGTGAACCTGCTGTCCTGTGAGGCTGGGAGGTGTGTAGGGCACCCCACGAGGGCCCTTTAACAGGGCAGGAAAGCTGTGAGTCCCATGGTGGGCTCATKACTCTGGTTTAGTGCTGGTTGGCGTTTCCCAGAGCTGCTTTTTGCAGAGGGAGAAGGAAACTTGTTTTGTTTTGTTTTTGTTTCTTTGGTGGTTTTTTTTTTTGTTTTCTTTTGCTAGAGAATGTGAGTTGCTTGGTGTCAGAGACTGGCAATTCTCTGAGCATGGAAGAGAGAGGAATTCCTCTTGGGCTGTTGCTCATCCCCCTCCCTGTTCCTCAAAGAGTAATGCAAGGAGGTGAGTATTACACTCCTTGCCTTGGAGTGCTGTTGACTGGGTAGATCACCAGGTTCTGCCCTGGAACTGTAAGTTGTTGCCATTTAAAGGATTTAAAAGTATTTATTTGTTCTGTGTGTTCATTGCTGAAAGGCAAATCAAGGTCTGTTCCTCCTGCTGCGTCAGGCAGAATGTGCTGTGAGCAGTGGAGGTGTTTTAGTTGGTGCTGAGAGCAGCCAAATAAAGGATGTGGGACAGGCATCCAAACACCTCCCGGACAAATCTGTTACAGGCATTGATTGTACTGGACTGTAGAGTGTGTCTGCAGAGCRGAACCATGGGGCACAAAGTTGGGGATAAAGGAAACAAAACCCTGCCCAGTTTAGGAAAATAAATAAGTAGTCCCCAGGATGAATGTATTGTCAGTGCAGTCCTGAAAGACACAACCTCTGTGATTGTCCATGATCCAGTTAGAGGCAAGGAAACCCTGAGAATTCCGAGGAGTTTGAATCACAAATTCAGATGATTGATTCCCATTCTTCAGAYTGCATCTTGCCCTCTAAATAATTTCCCTCTAAATTAGCAATGCTGAAAGTTGAACATTCCTTAAGGGTGGGTTTGGGCGGACTCACTTATGTAAGATTATAACTTATTCCTGGAGACCAATGCTGGCTGTACAAAATATTAAAATAAACTCTGCTATCATTGAGAAGGACACATCGGTGTGGATTGTTGAAATGGCACCTGCGGAATCCCACAGATGGGAAGAAGGGCGTTGCAGTTTGGTGCACCACGAGGACGGAGGCGTTGGGCCTGAGTGATTTGCTGTGTGACTGCTGGGAGAGAGAGAGATTCTGATGAGTGGTTTAGGAGGGCTTGGAAACTGAGGGATCTGATAGCTGTGCTTGGGAAATCAYATCCTCTGAAACGGGTGCTGTGGGAAAGGTGTTCCTGACTGCTGGATTTGGGGTGGTGTGGTCAGTGCCCTGCTGATGCACTGAGGTGCCTCCTTCCCCCATCAGCTTCCTGAAGTTTTCCTTAGCTTTCCCTATGGATTTCAATATTTCCCAGTGCTTTTAGGAAGAAGTATTGTGGTTGTGAGCTCTGAGGCACTTTCCAAACTCTCTGCACYAAGAGTTTGCTTCTAAGCAGTAAATCTTGGCTAACACCTCTTTYGGGAGCAGAGAGATTTGTTGCTGGCTTGCTAAGAAGGGAGAATTGGTTTTTTTTAGCCTTTTAACCTTTTTTTTTTTAGGTACCTCACAGTCAGCTGAGCAGTTGTTTGGGGTATTTTTCCTACCCTGGCAAGGGGTTTAACTRCTTTGGTGAGGGGGAACATCAAATRTTTACAGCCCCCATAACAGAAATCACTCAGACTCACAGGTCTTGGCTTCAGAATCCTGCAGGATTTTGGGATAAGCGAGCATTGATAAAATTCCTGTGGCTTYAGTGTGCTGTGAAATCTGTTGGGAGCTGAGCAGGCACTCCTCTGTCCCTGCCATATCTCGGAGGAGTTCAGTGTGGGCACTGGTTTGGGGGCAGAGGCTGCTCCTGGCCTCGGTGGTGCCTTGTGCTGACCCAGAGTCGGTTGTGTGACTCCTCAGGTGTTGCTGCACAAACGGATAAATCAGGATGGGGTGGGAAACTCCCCCTGGAAAACGCTTTTATCCCAGTTAAAATGCTGCAGTGAGCACACATTTTTGGGAGCCCCTTGTGCACCTCTCCCTGGCAAAGACCACTCAGCCCTGGCCACACTTGAGGTGACAAAGCCAGGCAGGAGCAGATGGCCCCGGAGCTGTGGCTGTGCTCTTCCCTGCCTGCCTCGGAATCCACGGTGAGAAATGCAGCTTTTCTCCCTGCTTATCTCTGATCTACATTTCTGAATTCCCTGAGCACACGGGTGTGTTTCCAGATGGCTGCCTCTATTTTTTTTTTTCCTTCTTCCATTTTCACAGGGTTGATGACAGCAGCGATGAGTTAAAATAACACTGRGCCTGATCGTAGTCTGATCATGCAAAGCTGATTTTCCTGAAGTATTTAAGAGGTGAGCAGCCCTCAGTCATTTCTCAACCTATGTATTTCCATGTGGATATTTCAGTTTGTACATGTTATAAATAGCTCTTAGATGTGTAAGTGGATATTTTTTCTCTTACATGCAGTGAAATCTGCAGACAGAAAACAGCATTATTGCAATCTGCACTCAGATCCTTCCTACATTTACAAAGTGGGTTTTCAGAGGGTTGTTTGGCTCTGTAAGTGACAKTAGCACACCTTGTGCTGGAGTGTGATTGAAAGAAAAATGAATGAAGCAGTGAGTGAACACAAAGCTTTTCCTGCGGTGCTGCTGGACCTGCTACTTCATCCCTTAAGCAGGTTTTCTCCCTGCTCATGGATGATGCTGAATGACTTCAGAAGGAACTTTCCCATCTCCCCACAAGAGGGCAAAGCTGTGGGAGCCTTGACTTCTGCTCAAAGCAAGTGCTGAGCACAATAAATGTTTTTAATGTGGAACCTTCTCCCTTAGCAAATGCTTCCTGTCCTTTCCAAAAACCAAACCAAACAAAAAACCCTCCACAGAAGTGGATGATGAACATAGAAATTTTTAAAGTTCACTCCTGCATTTGAACCCTGAGCCCTGAAATATTTGCATTTCAGAAAATGTTTTTTAGTGACACCAAACTGAGCCAAAGCTCCAAGATGACCTTAAAGGATTGAAAGGGATTTGAGAGGCTCAAACAAAATGTCAGAATTGCTGTTCAAGGTCCACTTTTTCCAAGACTTGCTTTTCTTCCCCTCAGGCATTTATGAGGGAACAGTTATATCAGCAAAAGATTATTTTTTAAAAATCCATTGCAATTGAATTAAAATCAAAGTAATTGGAAAGGGATTTTTAAATAAAACTCATTGTATATTACAAGTGTTGTTCATTCTTCTGCAATTTTACCAAGTCAGGAATTGGATGGATTTTCCCTTCATGCCTGCACTGGCAGGTGTGATGTGARCTACCTGCAGTGGTTTCATGTCTGCTTGGTTTATTTTGGCTTTTTAATCTGGAGCTTCCCATGCTTTGGAGAACTCAGCCACCTCCCATCACTTTTAAACAGCAATTTAAGAGAATAAACTCTTCCAGCTCCAATATGTGGTTTTATAAAATGCTGGGGGGACAAGCCTGTTGGTAAGGAAATGGATGTTGGCCAGAATGTTTTCTTTATCATATTTAAGTAGTGCAGGGTTTAACATTTTTCATGGCATCCCAGCTTGGTTCAGTTTGGAAAGGATTAATCCAGCTCCACCCCGTCACAGGCAGGGATACCTTCCACCAGACCAGGTTATACAGCCTTTGCCACTTCCAAACCACCTTTTGGGTTCCTTTGCCACTTCCAAACCACCTTTTGGGTTCCTTTGGTGTCTTTTTGTTTGGTTTTTTTTGTGCTCAGGTGACAGAGGCCACTTTTCCTTACACCAGATCCACCCGACATTGGGCACCTGAGCCCTCCCACGGGGTCTTGTGCAAGAGCAGAGCTGSAGGGTGGGATCTTGCTTTGGCAGCAGCCACGAGATTTTATCTCAGCTTCAGCTTAAGATTTTATCTATTGCTGGAAAAATAATGGACACGAGCAGAACTGGATCAGGGCTGGAACATGAGTGGCACCCAGGAGGGTGTGCAGGAGGGAAACCAGGTGGTTTTGTGCTGTGCAGCTCTGGGATGTGGCTCTGTTTACGGGCAGCATGAGCTGCTCTTCCCGGCAGGAGCGTGGAGAGCAGGAGGGGAGATCTGTATTGATCTGGCTGAACCTCCCCCCTCCTGCACTCCTGKGCTGATTCAGGGCCCAGAGCGAGAGGTGGAGCTGCTCTGAGTCTCTCCCAGGTGGGGCTGCAGGGATGGGGTTTCGGATACAGCGATGATATTGCAGGTCAGAGTTTTTTTAAAAACCCACAGAAATGTATCCTGGCAGTTTTCCTGTTTTCTTACCCAAGACCAAGGGAGATGTTCTAAGTGCAAGACTGACCTCCAACTCCAAGCCCACACTCAGGCTTTGTCCCTTCTCTTTCAGGCAGGGTGCTAGAAAGCAGAGATGTCAGCCCATGGCTGAAAACCTGGGAAAAGAGGATTTTGTAGGARGAATTTGCTTTGAGATCTGCCTGGCAGGCTGTGGCACAGGGATGATGGCCCTTCTGCCAGAGGGGAAGCCGGGTGGGACACGCTGAGCTCTGCAAGGAGCTGAGAGAGTTTCACTTCCCTAACATGCTCATGACAGAATTACTCACTTCTCTGAAGCACCACTGCAGCAGGGAGGGAGTTTGTGGGGCTGCAGATGGGAACAGCTTTTTTTTTTTTTTTCACAATTTGCATTCCTGAATGATGTCACAGCAGTGACTTGTCCAAACCTTCTCCTTCTGGAGACTTACAGCCTCCAGCCTTGAGAGTTTTAGGCTAAAAACCAACAGAGAGGAAGTTTAGATTTGATATGAGGGAGAAATGGTTCCCTCCTGGCACAGGTTGTCCAGAGAAGCTCTGGATGCCCCTGGATCCCTGGCAGTGTCCAAGGCCAGGCTGGATGAGGCTTGGAGCAGCCTGGGACAGTGGAAGGTGTCCCTGCCTGTGGTGGGGGGTGGCACTGGATGGGCTTTGATGTCCCCTCACAAACCCAAACCATTCCCTGATTCTATGATAAAAAACTTTGGTTAATGTGCTGGAGTGGATGGCTCAGGGGGGGTTTATTGCTTTCAATAATTTGTTTTATTGGGCAGTACAAATAAAGGTCACTTTATCCATGCTTTATTTGGCAATCCTATGAGAAAACCCTGGGCARCCCCTTCAGGTCTAACTGCAATCAAAGTCCAAAACAGATGAAAGCAACCTGGTTGTGGGGCTTTCCAGCCCTTGAGGAGATCTGGGAGGAAAATCATGGAATCACAGGATGGTTTGAGTTGGAAGAGACCTCAAAGCCCATCCATTTCYACCCCCTGAGRTAGCAGGGACACCTTCCACCATCCCAGGGTGCTCCAAGGCCCRTCCAGCCTGGCCTGGAASACTTCCAGGGATCCAGGGGCAGCCACAACCACTCTTGGCAAAAGGTCAGAGGTGTTTTGTGATTTTGGACCCTGGCTTCTCCTGCAGACGCCATTCTCCAGAGCACCTGGACTGTCTTGGATCACGAGGGAGTGGATGCACTCAGCTTCCAGCTGCTCAGAGCTACAAGGTTCTGCTGGTTCAGCATCTGCAGCATCATTCTGGACACCATGTGGTCCGGGGGTTCTCCTGCTCTCCCAGCAAAGGTTCTCCCTGCTCTCATGGATCCCAAGGAGCCCTCGGAGCCCAGCCTGGGAACAGCAGCTGTGAGCAGCACCGGAGCCCGGCCGCAGGGAGGGAGCAGGGGGAAATGAGATCCCCTCTGCAGCTTTCCCTCTCCAGCCGCTTCCTCCTCATTTACGGGCTGGGGAGGAAGAGCGGTGACCGCGGGTGGAGCTGCTGGGCTGGAGCTGCCTGCGGGAAGGGAACTGGTGGAGCCTCACCCCTGGCACAGGGTCTGGGCAGGAGCTGTGGCTGAGCCACTGAGCAGCTCCCCTTTTCCCTGTGCTCTCAGGAACATGGCTTTGCTTCCCACTAAACCTGTTCCTGCCTTTTGGCTGAGTCCCACAGAGGAAGCGGGCGCCTTTTGGGCACTGAGGGGTCAGAGGTGGGATTCTCTATGAAGTTCTTGCTGTGGGGCTCCTAACTGGTGTTTAGGTCCTTGACCAAATGTTATCCAAGCCCAAAGACATCATTTCCCTAAGTGTTTGTGCTGCAGCTCACCTGGATCCCTGCAGGCTTGTTGCCTGTGGTCAGTTTGRGGGGTTATGGCCTCCCTCCTCCTCCCTGATCTCACCCAGCCCCAGATCCTCTGTGTGTGCTGTAAGGGTGCGTAGCAAGCCCAGGGCTCTGCTCAGAACAACCCAGAACTAATTCTGGCTTCAAAGAAGCTTGCTTTGAACCCTGCTTTCCATCAGGAAACCTGGCARGAGCTAGGAGATTCCTGACAGATATTCCTGGAGATACATAGAAGAAATTCTTGGCTGTGAGGGTGGTGAGGCCCTGGCACAGGGTGCCCAGAGAAGCTGTGGCTG